ACTTTTGGTGCTGGGGATGGAAAAATAGATAAGACTGAATGTGCCCTGAAGGCACGTGCAGTGTTACGAGAACAGAGTCGCAACCTGCCTTCTCATCACAGCAGCACACTAGAGAAGTGGTTATAGGAAATCATTGTCTATACCAGCAACCCCCAACCAATTTTGGCACCAGGGACCAGTTTTGTGAAAAACAGTTTCTCCATGGACCGGGGAGGGGCATGGATTCAGCACGATTCAACCACATTACATTTATTGCGTATTTTATTTCCATTATTATTACATTGTAGTATATATTTAATAATTATACAACTCGCCATAATGTAGAATCAGTGGAGCCTTGAGCTTGTTTTCCTGTAACTAGATGGTCCCGTCTGCGAATAATGGGAGACAGTGACAGATCATCAGGCATTAGATTGTCATAAGGAGTGCACAGTGTAGATCCCTCACGTGTGCAGTTCGCAATGGGATTCATGCTCCTATGAGAACCTAATGCCGCCGCTGATCTGACAGGAGGAGCTCAGGTGGTAATGTGAGCGATGGGGATGGGGAGCAGCTGTAAATACAGATGAAGCTTCCTTTGCCTGCCCACCACTCACCTCCTGCTCTGTGGCTTGGGACCCCTGGTCTACACAACAAGCTGCTTGGGCTGGTTTTCTTTACAATGTTAAAGAGCTTTCTAAATTTGTGTTGATGTAGTAAGATCACAGCATTATTTTACAGTAATTGTGTTTGAATTAAGTTGTAGTGAATGCCAGGAAAAGGCCCTATCTACTCTATTTTCTGATATTTTGGAAATAGATTCTAAAACAACTTGGTGCCTTGGGGAAACTTTTATTTCCAAAATACTGGAAGTGATTGGCTCAAGTCAGTGAATCTATAATATCCTGGAAGCTGTATTTCTGAAAGTCATATTTTAAATGTTAAAAAATATTGAACAATTGGGCCGGGTGCAGTGGTTCACTCCTGTAACCCCAGGACTTTGGTAGGCCGAGGCGGGTGGATCACCAGGTCAAGAGATTGAGACCCTCCTGGCCAACATGGTGAAACGACATCTCTACTAAAAAAAAAAAAAAATACAAAAATTAGCTGGGTGTAGTGGTGCACGCCTGTAGCCCCAGCTACTCGGGAGGCTGAGGCAGGAGAATCGCTTGAACCTGGGAGTCGGAGGTTGCAGTGAGCTGAGATCACGCCACTGCACTCCACCCTGGTGACGGAATGAGACTGTGTCTCAAAAAAAAAAAAAAAAAAATTGAACAATTGATATTTCTAACAAAAAGTTCAATGCCGTGTGTACTTGCAGACTTTTCTATAAGACATGACCCAAGAAAGAAAGTGAAAATTGATCTCAGGCTTAAACTCTTCTTTAACTTCCCCCAACCACCTAAAGCTGACTCTATTCTCGACTTTAATGGATGGAAACAAGGTCATGTGAGCCCTAGTTCATGTAATGGAAGGAAGTCCACATTTCCCCATTTACTGAAGATGATCCTGGTGGTGCCCTTAGGCACCCTGGTTTTTACTGCCACGTTTCGCTCCAAATCTCAGTCCTGGCTTCAGTCTCGTGTTTTCAGGCCAGCTCAGCCCACATTTCTGCTTCCCGTAGATGCAGCCTGTTGGACCCTGGGGTACCAGTACCCAGGGCTCTTGTAGAGGCAGGGGCCCTCTTCCTGGCTTAGCATTACCAGAGGGAAATCCTTGCCAGAACTGGAAGTGACTTCGAGGTGACTGTCACACTAATTCCAAAGTTCCTTAGCCACCCATGCTGTAGGGTGTACATCACCTGCTGCCCCAGAGCCACTCCCCACCTTCATGGGATTTGTTTCTCCCTACAGTCTCTTTTCCCACTTTCCTATCTTCCCCAAATCCCAAGGCCTCCAAACCACAGTGCTTGGCTGAAGTTTTTTAATCTAAAAGACACAGAAAAAGCATTTTCCTGACCCAAGAGCATTCCCGTTTCCTAACCCTGGCCATTTGCCTAAAGCAGCATAAAAACATGGCAGAAGTTTGAAATCATAATTTTTTTTTTAAATGGGATCAACTTTCAAGGCATCTTTCATCAGTATTTTCTTTCCATTTTGGTGCCTTGGGCAAGACTCCTAAGTAAAGTGATGCTTTTGCTATAAATACCCTTTTTCATGTGTTACATAGTCTTATAGTTTGGGTCACAAGAATGTTTTTATAATGAAACACCTTACAAGAATTTGTGTCCAGTAACAACTTGGGTCCTATAAAATGGCTGTTTCTGGAGTTTTCTAAAGTGGTGAGGAAGATGTCTCCAAACCCCAGCCCCTGGGCCAGGGACCAGTAGTGGTCTGTGGCCTGTTAGGAACTGGGCCGCACAGCATGAGGTGAGTGGCAGGTGTGCAAGGGAAGCTTCATCTTATAACATTATGGCCTGAGCTCCACCTCCTGTCAGATCAGCAGTGGCATTAGAGGCTCATAGGAGCATGAACCCTATTGTGAACTGCGCATGTGTGGGATCTAGGTTGTGCACTCCTTAAGAAAATCTAATGCCTGATGATCTGTCAGTGTCTCCCATCACCCCCACAGGGGACCACCTAGTTGCAGGAAGACAAGCTCAGGGCTCCACTGAGTCTGCATTATGGTGAGTTGTATAATTATTTAATTATATATTACAGTGTAATAATAATAGAAATAAAGTACACAATAAATGTAATTGCTTGAATCATCCCCAAACCATCCCCCCGTCCAGTCCATGGAAAAATTGTCTTCCGCTAAACCAGTCTCTGGTACAAAAAAGGTTGGGGACCACTACTCCAGGGCACCCTGTTCACGCTATGCTGGGCCTTAGGTGAGCAGAGCGAGTCTTCATGAGACAATGACTTCCCAGCAGATTTGGGAGAAATGCTTCAAGGTTCAAACTAGCAAATATGTTAGGGGATAAAAAACAAAATTTATAATTTAAGGTAAGCTGTTTTAAGCATGAGAAACTTCATTTAAGGGCTGTTCCCCAGACATCTCCAGGTTCAGGTAACCATTCCAATTCAGGAAAATGGAGTGGAAGTTTGAGAAACACCATACTTAAGAAGGTGCCATTGTACAAACATGTATAACCTTTAAAATTATTTCCCATTACTGTACTTGTTAACTCCTTGTTTTGCAGGTCATTTGTATACTATAGACATTTTATGTAATATGTATATGCTAAGAAAGTAGTGTTGGAGTTGATATATTTGTAAATTGAATCCATTTAAAATGCAATAAATACTTTTTAGAAAACCCTAAAATTATTTTTATAATCAACTCCTGATTATTAGTTTTATAAATTTAGTAAACTATTTTTCTTAAAATAGGTTTTTTTCAGACTATAAAGATAAACATCTACTTTTTACAAATTTTTATTTTTATTGAGGTATAATTGACAAAGAAAACTTGTATATATTCAGGGTGTGCAACGTGATGATTTGCTGTACATACACATTGTGAAATGATTGCCACAATCAAGTTAATTAACATACAAATTACATCTACTTAAATTGAAAATAGTATCTTTATAAATTTGACTTTCAAAAAAAGTCACTATCGGTGAATTTATCTGATTCAGACTAATGAAAATTTAAGACAATGTCTGTTAGTAGTGTTGAGTACTTTAAGAAGTATTTTTTAGATTCCTGAGCATGTTAAAGAAGTATTATCTTAATGAAGCATGTAAAATAAAACATCAACTCAATCATGAAATTCCTCAGGGCAGATTATTAAATAATCATGAGATTAACCAGGCTAACTTCAAAGTTGATTTGGAATGTTTTACTCTTTATTGCTGTAAGCAGTTATATTAGTCGAATATAAATGTTGAGTACATTTTCATTAACATGCTATGCATGTCCAGTTACTTCTAAGTGAAGTCCACTCTATGGTCTTCATAGAGTGTCACCATTCAATAAATGTGCAATAGAAGAGCTAATTAAAATTTTACTTAATGTAAAAGATTGAAAAAGTACAATGAATATAATGTAATTGAAATAATTTAGAGTCCACTTTAAATCAATTTCTTTGTTAATTTCGAAATATTAAAAGTATGTGACCATACTGAGAATTTGTTCAAACATATCACTATGGACAAAATAAGAATGATATCATATTATTCCTAGGTTATTTGGAAAAGAATATTAGCTTTTCCTAGTCTAAAAATGGAAAAAAATAAAATTACTGACTATCTTATTAATAAAGTAAGTACAGCTAGTGCTCGACTTACTACCACGATTGGTTCCGGCAGACCGGTGGTAACACGATTTGGTCATAAGTTGAGTAGGCTATATGCATGCGGAGATGGTAGTGCTGCCGGAAGCTGGTCCGCACTGTCGTACGCCCAGCTGGGCAACGTTTGCGCTGCCAGACGCGGAGCAGTCGTGGCTAGCGACTGTGGTCGTAAAGTTGAATGGTCGTAAGTTGCATAGGTCGTAAGTCGATCAATACCTGTATCTGACATAACCAGTTGCTTATACAAGTGAGATGTAGAACAGAATACAAATGTGGTTGTCATTGGCTAGGATGGTATATTATTATACTGGAATCTTAACTAGAACACTGATTGTTTTTTAAAGTGATTTTTTTACCATGCTAACTCTGTCACCTAGGAAAAATAATAATATGTGACTTATCTGTTGTGTGAAATCTTAAAAGTTTGAAATAAATTGCTATATTAGTCTAAAAATTCTATTACAGAGTTTAGGTAATATGGAGAAAGTATTTGTTTTTCTAAGACTGTGATTGAATCAAGCCTTGCAAACTAGTAAATAAACTTTGATTTAAGTAAAATATTGTTCACTTTAAGACAGAATATTTGATAAAAACCAGAATTGTGCCTCTTAGCTTATCTGTGATTCAAGGAATAGAGCATAGGGAAAAACCGTGACTGTTTGGAAAATGCTGGCTTGTGCTGGGCTTTGCTGGTAGAGTGATGGCTCATAACTACAAATAGAACCCATAAGTTGTTGAAATGTAATTTTAATTGATTTTTTTTTAAATTTTATTAATAGGCTATCAGCTGCAAAGGTCAACACAGCATATCCTATACTTTGTCAAGGAATCAGACTGTGGTGGTGGAGTACACACACGATAAAGATACGGATATGTTTCAGGTAATATTTATATTTTTTAATGGAAATTTTAGTGTATATTCCTTCAATTCTTTATTTTTGGTATGTAATCAGATCTTCCAGCCCAGTGTCTAGGAGGAAAGAATTGAAGATAATATAAAAATTATTCCTGTTTGGTTTCTGAAAGATTAAGAAAAAAAATTCTTTAACTGTAAAAGGAAATTATAAAGGCTACATTCACAGACCTCAGTGCAATAAAAATAGACATTAATAGCAAGAATAAAATTTTAAAAAGCCGACTACTTTTAAAAGCCAACATTTTCAGAATACTTTCTAAATGACGCTTGAATTAAAGGGACATCAAAACTACATTTATAGGTCTTTTCAGAAATAACTGTGGGAATATTATGTATCAAAACTGACGAGATGAGGCCAACATCTTACTCGGAAAAATTGCCTTAAATGCATTCATTATAAGAAGAGAGAAAGAAAGAAAATCAAAGACCTAACATGTATCTGAAAAGTTATTTTTTGACAAAGGACAGCAATTAAGAAAGTACAGGATGGGTTTGGGCATAGTTTTAGTGGTATATAATAGAAAGTCCAGAAGTACCTCAAAAGAAAGCAGAAGGAGGAAAATAATAAAGAAAAACATTCATCTGTTAATGAATTTTAAAATAAGAGAATTAATGAATATATTCAAGATGTAGTACTTTAAAACCACACACAATTAAAATTTAGGCTAATAACAGAAAAAAAGCAAACGAGTTGAAATTGATGAGGCTTTGCATTTCCATATGGAGAATTAAATTATTACATAAATAATAAGCATTTAAATGTAAAACTGAAGGAACAAAGAAGTTCTAGAACAAAATTTAGAGTTCATATTCTTGGAATAGGGAAGGATCAGTAGGAAATAAAGAGATAGATTTTACTTTGTACATCTTCACTTCTTTTTAAATGACCCAAAATTAAAAGTCAAACAAACTAGGTAGAGACATTTAGGGCAACAAATCAAGTAGACAAAGGATTGATACCTCTATTATAGTAATCACTTTTCCCATGCTTTCAGAAATGGACAAAGAACAAAACATGTAATTCTAAGAAGAAGAACTATAAATGGCCAATAAATATATTAAAATAATGTTCAGAGTACCAAATGAATTAATAATAAAATACTCTTTATTACCTATTATTGGAAAATATTAAATAATACAGCACTGTAAAGCATTGTACGGAATTGGTCCCCCTGGTGGGACTGTGAATTGGCACAGCATTTCTACAGGACAGCATTGCAGTACTACCCTGAATTTCAGCACTCAGACCAATTGACCCAGTAATTTTAACTTTAGTAATTTTTATACATAAATAATTAAAGAATATGAACAAAGATTTAACCAAAAAGTTGTTCATTCTATGTTTTGTATACTAGTAAAAAACTAGAAATAAACCCACACTTCCAGGAGAATGATTACAGTATGGTGCATTTAAATGCAAAATGCCATGCAGCCATTACATGATCATTAAATGGGAAATACAATAAAATAAGTGAAAAAAAGCATATGTCCACTTCATGCTTTATTTTCATGTGCACACACATAAACATAGGTACGGAAGAGAGAAGGACTAGAAAGAAACGCCCCAGCTCTTTTTCCATTTTCTATAACGTCGTGAAGTGTAGGCCTAATCTGGGTTACCTACATCAGCACTTTTGATTGAGAAAGAAAGAAAATTTTATATGTTTTTTAAGTGTATTTGTAGTAGTCCTGAACTTCAACACCTCAGACTGGTAAGAAAAGCCAAAGGCAAATTATAAATGCAGGAAATATTTATAATTTGTATCACAAAAGGTTAATGTCACAAATATATATATAAGGTACTCCTGGACATCTCTTTTAAAAGACCTACAATCAGATAGACAAATAAGCAAAGGATTTGACAGACAGTTCACCAAAAAAGGAAAAACAGTAGCTCTTAAAAATAAGAAAATATGCTCAACCTCACTTACAAAAAGAAAAATGTGAATTAAAACCACATAGAGATACCACTTTTCACTTGTCAAATTGGCAGAAATCCAAAAGGTTTTGTCAAAGTTGTGGGAAAACCAGACACTGTCCTATATTCTATAAATTGGTATGCATTATGGGGTAGCAATTTGAAAATACCTATGAAAAATACAAAATGTTTACACAGTTTGACTCAGCTCTTCTCTTTGTAAAGCTCTTCTTTCTAGAGACTTACCCCAGAGATATCCTTACCTGCATGCAAAATGCCATTTGTACAGAGTTATTGCTCTAAGCATTGCTTAATAGGAAAAGATTGGAAACAGCCTAAATGTTTTTCAGTAGTGGACCAGTTTAGTAAATTTAGGTACAGTTATACAGTGAAGCCCTCCAATGGTATAAGCAGAACAAAGAAAAGCTCTGTGTATAGCCACAGAAAGAGCTCCATACATATTAAATGAGTTACATATTAATATTATTAAATATATTGGGTCATATTGGTAATATATTCAATTAAAACTAATTTAAAATATTACTAAATTAAATGTTATTCAATAATATTAAATTATTAAATGTTAATTTAATATTGTAAAATGGTTTAATGCTTATATGCATTAAAAAATAATCTCCAAAATGAGTAACAAGACATTAATGTAGCAGTTGCCTTTGTGTGGAAGGAGACTGAGCAGGTGGTATACAGGGAGATATTTTACACTTTTTGATTTTTGGAACTGTGTGAATGTAATAGATATTTTAAAAATTAAATAATCTTAGATTAAAACATAGTCATAGATGTAAACATAGTTATTAAAGTGCCAGTTTGAACTCAAAAGTAAGATTTATCATATTTGGGCAAAATACTGACTGTGGTTTTACTCTCCATGCCGTTTGATTGCATGATCTGAATATCTTTTCTTCTTACTGTGTTAAAGAAAATATCTCCCTGCATAAGTATATGCATATTCTTTCCTGTTGATGTTTTTATGGCATTTTATTATATCTTTTTTAATAACTCATTAAAATCATTTATTTTCAATTTATAAGTTTTTTTTTTTTTTTACTACTTGTAGTAGTAAAGATTTTAAAGTTTTTTTTTTTACAGAGAGAATTCTTAATACTAAAAATGTTAATCAAGCCTATTTCACAATTGTCAATGATACTTTTTTTACCACTTAAAAAACTTACTGTGGTGGTACTGTTAGAGATAAATGAAATACTTTCAAAGTGTGAAACGTTAAATTTCTTTAAAAAGAATCTTGTTTCTTAGAAATTTTTCAAAGTTTCATAGAGTATTCTTTAGTGACACATGTCTCACATGGTGCATTCTGCACTGTTGGCCAGTCACATTCTACTCACATGCCCACTTTCTCCCACTCAGCTCTGCAGAATGCATTCAAGATTTAGCTGAACTTTTTCAGCTTCCTTTTGGTAACTTGTATGTATTTTATGCATACTTCCTACTTTGTCATATAGAATATCAAAAGACTCAAGATTTAATAAAATTCATAATTTTTAAACTGCGAATTCAAAGCAATGAAAAATACAATGACTGTTATTACAGTTTGTTGCCACTGCTTTGAATCATGCTAAAGCACCAGCAGCTTTACCCACCATTGTTCTAGCACCATCAATGTAGAGAACAGTGCAGTGGAAAAGGTAGTTAACATCTTTGTATTATGAAAGCAATTTTGGCCTCTTGGACCTAGACCCTATGGCAGGGTCTCAGGGACCCTCTGGGGTTCATGAACCACATTCTGAGAATACTGATTTGTACCAACCTCTTAATTTCATAGCTGAGAAATCTGGAACTTTGATAGGAAAAGTAATGTAAACTAAGGCTAGAGGAGGCATTAGGCGAAGAACTAAGATTTAGGCCACTGAGCTCTTCATTCTCTGAATAGTACCAGCTCAGCCTCTTTAAATAAAGTGTGGTAAGCCAAGCAAGAATTCACGTTTCTTAAGGAAACCTAACATATTACGTTTACAGACTAGCGGGACCTTTTTGAAGATCATTGGCAGATCATTTTAAGCAGAGAACTAAGCAAATCTGTTAAGACCTTGGAAAGACAGACTTGTTTTAACTTTTTCCTCCTTTTAACAAGTTTATATTTCTAAAACCCACTACTGACAAAAATCACCAAGTAAAAAGCACTACAGCACTCACATTTCTCAAGTATGGACCTCAGTGTAGAGTTTGTTTTAGTCATTCTCATTAAAATGATTTCTAGGGTTGAGTATTTAAAGGCAGAACATCAGAATGAACCAAGAAACGGCTTTGTGCTACATTTCCCACTGTGGAGTCAGTTGTAGACTCCAAACTCAGAAATCTTACTGCCTGAAGAGAAAAATCAAAGCTAGATCTGGATTTAAGGTATGAGAAAGTCTGAGTTAAAATAATCAGAGTAAGGTCTTTGTCATTATTTTCTGGAACGGGTAAATAAGAAAAGAAAGAAAAGTCTAACAAAGTGGAACATAAAGGAGACAATAGTTCATGGAAGGAATTAAGGAAGTGCTGCATTGTCTATCAGTGTCCCTAGAGTAAAGCGCGGTGCCAAGTGCCTTCTACCCATAGGGGCCAGGAGCCTGGGTGGGTCCTGCAGATAGTGTGCAGGGTTCCTTTCTCTCAGATTTTACCGTCTCACAGGCTTCGAACCTGGTGCTACAAAGGCCTCACATTTCTGGGTTTTGGTGGGGGGTTGTTTTTACACTTGATCTCAGCCAAAAGGCCGAGAAGCGATAGGGGGGTTGTTTTTTAATTTAGTTGATTTACTGTAGTTTTAGATGATAACATTTAATTAGTATCTATTAAGTTAAGAGGAAAATGTTAAAGAATATCTACATTTTTCTAATATTTCTACAAATCTTGTGCATGAGCATGCGTGTGCAGGTGTGTGTGTATCTCATAGGATTCAGGCTCCCCTGTCATAATCTTCCAATCATCATTTTCATCTCTTGACCATCTACTGTGTTAGAAACTCCTTTGGTGACTGGCGAGAGATAACAACGGCTCCCTCTCAAGGAACCTACATCTGGAGGAAGCAGGCAGACCCCAAATAAGTGAGCCCTCCAGGTAGAGGAAATAGTGAATGCAAAGGCTCCAAGTCAGGATCACAGTGGAGGAGGACGGAAGTGAACTGAGATGGACTTGGAAGGGTAGGTAGAGGCTGAGAGGTAGGACCTTCAGGCCAGCTAGAGTTTGGGATTTATTCTAGGAGTTTTGGGAAGCTGTTGGATTATTTTAAGAGGGGAAGAGGTATAATCTGATTCATGTTTTTGTACCATTTCTCAAACTACTGTATGGAAGAGAAGCTAGGTGGCAGGTATGGAAACAGGGAGAGCAGTTTGGAGGCTAAGGTGATCGAACTTAAGTGAGAGGTGTAACCAGACCCAAGGTGGGAAAAGTGGAAGGATTGAGGATGTGTTTGGAGGTACATATGACAGTGTTTACACAGGGCTAATGTGGGCTTGCAGGAAAGTGAAGAATTGGATAATTCTTGGGTTTTGATTTTTAGCTTGATCAAATTGAATGTTAGTTAGTCGTTGATATAGGGAAGCCCCAGGGTGAAGGGGGATCCAGGTTCTGTTTGGCACATACTACATTAGAGATACTTATCAAACATACAAGTGGAGATGGGTTGTGTTGGTCTGAAGCTCAGAGGAGAGATCAAGACTTTTTTCAGCTGATAAGTGGGATTTGGTGATACCATCTGGGAAGAGAACAGAAAGAAAAGGGAAGGGGACTATTTACCAACTAGCCTGAAAGTGTTTCACTGCTGTAATACCAGGTAGAAATGGACCAGGATATGCTGGGTCAGCATAAGCCCTGGATTTAGCAATATATTGGTTGTTGGAATTTTAGCATGAGTGTTTTCAGTAGAGTTGTGGGGTAGGAAGCTTAGCTGGAGTGGGTTGAGAAAGAAGGAAGTTAAAGAGATAGGTGAGGAAATGGAGGAAATAACTAATGACAGGTTTTCCAAGAAGTCTTGCTGTTAAGTGAATCAGAGAAACCGGCCTGGAGGTTGGGGGTTGCTTGCAGGCGAAGGAACACATTTTTAACGGTGGGAGACTAGTCCAGAGCAGGGCTACACGACCTGCACTCCCTCTGCCAGGCAGTAAAGTGTTTGTTAAAAGACAGAATGAGATGAGCACACAAGTGGAGAGGAAACCTTTATAACAGTTTGGCATTGCTGAAACATACAAGTCCATGATTATCTCTCAAACACTCATTTTTATTGTATGTTTAAAAGGCATTAGTGATGGGTTAAAATTTAAAACAACAACAGTAGTACTGGTCTTTTAACCACTGAGTTTGAGAAGCTCTAGAATGTGTGCGAGAGCTGATGACTCAGAAAAGAGGAGTAAAATCCTTGGGAAAGGGAGAATATTGGAATACCAAGTATCAATGGAAAGGTTGCTGTTAGGTAGGAACAACAATATTTCATCCTTATCCCAAGAGAGGAGTCAGAAAATAAAGTTATAGATGCAGTTGCCGGGAAATGGGTAGGAATTGGTTGGGGGAGGTGAGAAAAAGGGGAAGCCCTTCTAGATGCTTTGATACCATCTTATCTGTCCTGGCTTCACCTGACATCCAGGCAGACCGACACTTTTCTTATATATATAAAATTTAACATACTGAATGGAGCAAAGTTCTTATTGTAGCTAGTTATATGACTATCACCACTCTGTGAATATCAGAGGAAATTCAGAAGCATCCTGGCTTGCATGCTATGTGAATATCAAGTGAAATTCAGAAGCATCCTGGCTTGTGTGCATGACTACCTTTAAAATGATACAGAGTTGATCCAGTAGTCAAAAGAAAGGGCAGGCTGCAAGTTTTCCAGATTGAGTGATTTTTCAGCAGGACAGTGACTTAGTATTTTTTTTTTCCTGGAAAAAGCAACATGAGGCTTGTGTCATAGAGTATGAAATTTTACCAGCACTCTAAAGGTTAGATTTAAGCGGAAGCAAACTGATAGGTAAACAAATCATACGTCCAGTCAAGGTAAGTGTCATGATTTAAAATCATTGATCCTAGCAGTGTGTTCCAGTTAGAGTAAAATTTCCTGTTTTACAGTCAATTTTAATTATTTCATTAAGACATTAATTTAATCCATTTGGCAGAAATCAGAATGTGGCCCTTCTAGGAAAGAGTAATTCTCTACACAAGAAGGGACAGTTGTGAAGCATTCAAACTAGCAGAGTGGTTTTGGCTTTGAACTTATAACAAAGAGTTTGAAAAGTCATTGCCCTCTTCCATCAAGATGGACAAATCTTGAGACGATGATTGTTGCTGTGAGGCTCCAGGTTGGGTGAGATGACTGGGGAATTTTAGAATTTATCACAGTTTACTCCTAAACTTCATTGGAATAGAAGCTCGGAATGGGTTTGCTCCTAAGTTTGAAGTAGGCTTTGTTTTTACCTTTATACTTTTCTGTATTTGTTAAACAGTTTGCAATAAGTCTTCATTACTTTTCTAATTTTCTTTTTTAAAAATGTTTAACAAAATTAAAGCAGTCTGAATCGGTAGAGTTTCCAAGTTACCCGGTTTTTAAATGAATCTAGTAGAGAGGAGATTTTGCAACTTCAGAAGGATGAATTATATGAGATGATTTTATAATATGTCTAATTTAGATTTTACATTGCATTTTTTAACAAGTTATGTGTTTTCTAAACCTGAAATGTATATATCTAGGCAATATGCATCCGTTCAAGTTGTTAAGTTTCAGAGAAACCAGCAGTTTAGTTCATTCCAGGCACATTTCATTAGGACAAGAAATTAAGGGTTATAAAAAACAAGAGAAAATAGATGTCTGTTGTCTGTTGGTTTTAGAGAGAGAGTCTGTACATGAGAATGTATATATGAGATTTACAAAAGAAATTTATTGTTCCAAGAAGCAAGCTGAGCTAAGTGATATAAGATTTTTTTTCCACTTTATTCATTTAGATGAAAATGTATTACATTGCCTAGTTTGTAGATAGAACTTTGAGACCAGAATAAAAATACCTTGGAAATGACTTTTGGGAGCTTTATATGCATACATCTCAGGGCTCTGCATTTCTCCCATTGACAGCTTCAGAGTCACAGTTAGAATTGTTGGAAGATAACATTAATATCGTATTTAGGGAGAAAGTATTCATTTACCTATAAGTGATTTTTAACCTAAGAAGCCCTTTTAAAAACATTTAGCACTGTTTTCCAGTTAGAGATTTATAAACCAACATTACATAAATTTTTAAATATTCCATCTTGAGGACTTCCGTATTTGTAAACAAATAGTTTTCCTAGTTCACAGGAGACAGTAATACCTGTCTTATTTGAATTTACTGAATAGGACAAGCTTTGTTAAACCTTTGTTGTATGCTTTGTTAGAACTTTGTCCCATCTTTCTAATGAAATATATTCTTTCTGGCAGCATGTAAACCTTTACAAAGAAAGATTAGCCAATATAATATTATTGACAATTGTTTAGACTTCCCCAAGAGAGTTTTTTAAAAATCCAAAGTTGAAATACTAAGCTTTTGAAATCTTTCCTTTGACTGCGTCCCAGACTTTGGACTGGCTTGATAGCCTTCTCATTCATGCTGAGCAGTGTTAATGGACATTTATCTCTGTGTCTGGATTAGGGCTGTTCCTCCTCAGTGCTGTGAATCATGTTGGATTTACCTAACAAGGAAAACCATTCTGTGGAGCTGGGCAAGAAAGTGGGAGGCAAGAGTTCCTTGTTTATTTAAAATCTTCCTTTTTAAACCCAGAAATGGGGGGAAAAATGCTGTGAAAATAGCATTGCTTCCTGGATCCAAGAGATAAAATCTGATGAGTGGTGAAAAATCTGTTGTCCTCTTAATTGAGCTTTTTCTCAATACTTTAATGAACTAATGAGTGGCATAAAGTGAGTTAAGCAAGATGAATAAGTTCTGGAGATGAGCTGGGCATCACTGTTCCTGTGGTCAACAATGGCTGCATTGTGTGCTCAGATATTTCAGAGGATAGATCTCATATTGTGTTCTTAACCACAATACAATAAAATTAAAAATATATATCTCTAATGGTTGGTTTCCCTAATATCTTCCCTAGTTAAATAGGAAAAGGAGCACAAATGAAAATCTTGCATTAAATTCTGACGCTCAGAACAAAGATAGTGAATGTTAAAGGGATCCTGAATGGCTTTTCCATGTGCGTAAAATACGACACCCTGCTATTTTCCAAGTGAATCACAAGCACATTTGATTCATTTAGGTGGGCAGATCAACAGAAAGCCCTATCGACTTCGTTGTCACAGATACAATTTCTGGCAGCCAGAACACAGACGAAACCCAGATCACACAGAGCACCATATCCAGGTTCGCCTGCAGGATCGTGTGTGACAGGAATGAGCCTTACACAGCACGGATATTCGCCGCTGGATTCGACTCTTCCAAAAATATATTCCTTGGAGTAAGTACTGTCAAGAAGTACGTGATTTCCCGAAAAACGCTTGTGATTATGATATGGAACATTTAATTGGAGCAAAAAAAAAAAAAAAAAAGGCTTTGTATGTTGCCTCTAGTGAGGTTTTGCAGATTTTAGTTTTCAGGTGGCCAGTTTGAGAAACTGAACATTAATAACCATTACTTGTTATTCGTTTATTTTTTATATTGTAATATTTACATTAAGTCTTTTTTTAAAGTATGCCTAGAATATTGTCCATAAAGCATTTATGGCAATTAAGAGGTTTATTTCAGAGAGAGAAATAAATGGCCAAATTTAGATCATTAGGGGTCAGAGGAACATGTTAGTGATTCATTCATTCAAAAATGTTTTATTGAGTGTTTTCTATGTTCCATAATGGGTGTTTTAGATATGGGATTACAGAGAATAAAACAGACTTAAATCCCTGCCCTCATAGAGTTTCCTTATAAATGAACCCCAGAAGTTTTAGTCAATATCCAGGTTTAACATAGTTCCCTTTTGAATTAGGATATTTTTGTAGGAAAAAGAGAACCCACTCAAAATGGTCTAAAAACAATGAAAATGTACTGTGCCACTTAAGAAGTGCTGAGGAAGGCCAGCTCCAGGGTCGGTGGTTCAGTGGTTCTGTGACTTCCAGGGCCCCCGGTTCTCTCTGTCTTGCCTTCTGCCTCCCATGGTGCACCAGCCTCTTCATGGGAAGTCTTCTTGCGGGTGAGAGCTGGCTCCTGCGCTTCCACATGTCCCTGCCACATGACAACTTCCAGCCAGAGAATAGGGTGGCAGAAGCACTGTTTCTTCCTTGTCTTTTCTTAGAGCACAGATACCTTTTACGGAAGCTTCCCAGAAGATATGTGTCATCAGTCAGAGCCCAGACATGTGCTGTGCCCACCTGTAAACCAGCCATTGGAAAGAGGGCTGCGAGTGTCATGTTGGCTTCATCAGGATTTCCCTTTCCCGAGCCTCGTGAACAGTAGCTGAGCTCTGTCACCAAGAAAGCTGAGGGGAAGAGCTATGGCACAGGCACCAAAGAGTGTCCTGTCATCATGTCAAGCTACATGTGCCATTGTCTTTGAGAAGATAAACACTGATTGTTGGGAAAACATAATGGCCCCGACTTGTTGGCTTCACATGTTTCAAATTTTCTACCTTTAATAAAAAGTGTTTCTTTATGACTATCCTTTCTTCTCTATCCCGACAATGAGTACATAGAAAGCACTTTTAGGTGGCAGGATAAGAGCATGGCACAAGTATAACTGAAAAGAGAAAGCGCACCAGATTCCTGGAATCACATGGGGTTGTGGGGAGTATAAAAAGAATCTCAGAGGGAGAAGCCGAGCCATCAGTTTTTTTGCAAGCTCTTGAGAGCTATCATATGTGTCCGGTGATAAATCATTCATCTGTTTCAACACTTTTATATTGCCAAAATAATTGCGTATTTTATCCTTGTGATTATAAGCTTTAAATAGAAAATGCAAATTCATCACCTTCCTTCCCTTTGCCTCTACGCAACGTATTAAAGAAATTCCAGAATCCTTTCCATTTGAACGTCATCTTAGCCTGCCTTTTGTGTTCTGCTGTGTACTCTCCAGGAAAAGGCAGCAAAGTGGAAAAACCCTGACGGCCACATGGATGGGCTCACTACGAATGGCGTCCTGGTGATGCATCCACGAGGGGGCTTCACCGAGGAGTCCCAGCCCGGGGTCTGGCGTGAGATCTCCGTCTGTGGAGATGTGTACACCTTGCGAGAAACCAGGTCGGCCCAGCAACGAGGAAAGCTGGTGAGTGCACTTCACTCTGGAAAATGTTCCAAACAACACAAGCCTAACACATAGGCTGTCATTTTCCCTCCCCTGAGGTTCAGAACCTTTGTACGGGTGCAAGCACTGTGTACCATAACCCAGGAGAAGCAGAATTCCACAAGTACCTGAAAGCAAGAGGGAAATGGCCTTATTTCCTTCAATGGCCCAACTTTTCCCATAGTGGGAATAAGTTGCCTTTTGCTCCTTACCACCTTAAGAGCATTATCTTTTATTATAGACCTCACCACAAAAATCTACTTAAATTCACTTTAAGGGTAATAAACTTATTTTTAGTGTAAAACTTGATTGATTTGGAAAACGTTTGAGTAGTCCAAAAACAATTAGTAAAAATTATGAATTAAAGAATTATTTACAATTAGCCGGGCATGTTGGTGCGCACCTATAGTCCCAGCTTTTCAGGAGGCTGAGGCAGGAGAATTGCTTGAACCCGGAGGTGAAGGTTGTGGTGAGCCAAGATCGTGCCACTGCACTCCAGCCTGGGCAACAGAGCAAGACTCCATCTCAAAAAAAAAAAAGAAAAAAAAAAAAGAATTATGCCAGGTGCGGTGACTTATGCCTATAATCCCAGCACTTTGGGAGGCTGAGGCAGGCAGATCACAGGTCAAGAGATTGAGACCATCATGGCCAACATGGTGAAACCCCATCTCTACTAAAAATAAAAAAATTAGCCAAGTGTCGTGGTGCATGCCTATAGTCCTAGCTACTCGATGCTGAGGCAGGAGAATCGCTTGAACCTGAGAGGCAGAGGTTGCAGTGAGCCAAGATTGCACCACTGCACTCCAGCTTGGTGTCAGAGTGAGACTCTGTCTCAAAAAACAAAACAAAACAAAAAATTACTAGACCTTCTGGAACTAATAAATATTTAAGTCAGCTGGTTTTCCCCTTGAATTCGTATATATTAATGCAGAATTCTCTATACTGTCCACCAAAATCATAGTTACAACTTTTTACTTGAAATAATTTATATACTGCATTGACCTGGCATGTTAATATTTTCCTATAAATGTCACCACTTATCCCCATGCCCTAAAGCAGTTTTTTAAACCCATTCTTCCTTGGAGAATAATTATGGTACCTTAAATGTAGAACTGATCTTTTCTGATCTTGCCATAGCCATGTGGCACAAGCCACCGAAAGATTTTTACTAAACTATCCATTCCTGTACTTTTGCTTAATTTGTTAGGTAGAAGCTAGAACGAGAGAGAAAAAAATGTCTTTTTCTAGAAGCTAGAAAAGAAAGAGTTTTTCAAAACTCCCATGGAACAAAATGTATAAGGAATAGATGATTTGACCTAGCACTTTTCAGAGAGAAGGGTCATCACCAAAGATGTCTAAGATGGAAAAAGAAGTTGGGAGCTGTAAAGAAAAACTAAAACTAGATAGATAGATAGATTAGATAGATAGATAGGAAGAAAGAAAGAAGCTGGGAGCTGTTTTGCTACCCTGATTGGCTGTTCTTTACTGGACATTTGTGTTTAGGGAATGGTTATTTTTATTTCTATTTTACACCATTTTTCAGCTATAGGCACAGCTTCTGCATCTTACAATGCATATGGCTGAAATAAATATGAGAATCATTTTCTAAGAAAAACCGTGCAAGTTCAATGAATTTTGTATAAATATTTTCAAGAAATTGTAAACAGAGAAGCAAATGTGACAGCAATTTTTCTAAATAACCTTTTGTTTCTGATCACTGGATAGTTTTATACCAAACTGACCTAACTTAGCCAAACTGGTTATTCATCATTATAACAACAAAAGTAAGAAGTCAGTAAATGGTTGCTGGATGCAGGCACTACATTAACGTTTCCAGCATCAGCTCACTTAATCTGCACAGCAGCTCTCTAAGGGACGTAGAGTCGTCCCCATTTCATGGATGTGGAAGATGGGGCTTGAAGTTAAAGACTGCCCAGTGTCACAGAGTTAGAAGGTGGCAGCCAGTGGGATTCAGACCCAGGTCTCCCCGATGGAGAGTCTGGACATCTAATACTACTGGGTACCATGTCTTGTGGATCCGGGGATGGTTTACACCTGGGCATTTGCCTCCCTGGGTGACTATAAAGCATACTCCGGTGTCCGTAGGGAGCGCATTTGTCTGGGAGGGCATATCATGGGATGAGTTTCTCGCCCCCTTAGGTAACTGTGCCAACCCAGCTCACACTGCAATGTATGCCAGAGAATTTTACAGTGCTACCGAAAGGAACTCCAAAATTGGCTTGTATTAATTGGTAGTATTAAATATATAGGGTATTTTTGAAGTTAGTCCCTGTAAACGACACTTAGAACTACATAAAATTGTGCTGTCCTATTTGATAGCATCCGATTAACCTGGCCAATTACAAAGGCTTCCATCTGTCTCATCTTAGGCTCATGGGAAACTGAACAGATACATCCTTCCTGTAGTCTCCTCCGGTGAACCTCTGGAGAACAGTTTTTGTCTGTCTTCAAAGAAAGCTTACTGACTCTTTGAGCTTCTGTTTCAATTCATGACTCATTGGTCCTCTACATGTTTCTGGTGGCATTTGATATAAATTATGTTTATCTGTAAATTTGATTTTGGGGATGGTCTCTGGCAGTACTTGTCATTTGCAGTCTAATACAGAAATATGGAAATAAAGTAACCGGCTGAAAGTCTAAAATACTGGTTAAAACAGTAGTAGTCACATTGTAGAGCTCGTGCACGTGGAGGATTATGTTTTAATACCATACTCAGCATGTGATATGAATCAGTATACTAATATATGTGTAACAAGAAATCGCCATTGTTTTTCATCATTACAGCAAATGATGGAACCTCAGTACTTTGTTCTAATCAGCAAAATTAATTACATGTGGAAGAAATGTCACTTGAGGCCTTTAACCCCCTGAAGAAATAGGTGAAATGGAGTTTGAATTGTGCCCTACTTTATCTAGTTGATGATAACATATGGTAACATTTATAATATTACTCTAGGAGGCCCTTGAGTATTTAATTAAATTATATATGAGGCATTTTATTAAACTAAACTGGCTTTGTATAAAATTAAATTCATGTAAGTTGATTGCATACCCAATTTTAGGTGAAATTATAAAAATAACCATAGAGTAACTGTTCAGGCTCTACCAGGTGCTTTACATTAATTGCCTTTCCAGTGTTGCTGAAAATAACCTGCGAAGTCAGTGTTGTTATTGTGCCCATCTACAGATGAGGAAACCTCGGCTTTAAAAGATTAAGTCACTTGCTAGTAAGAAGTGGTGGGTGGGGCACTGAATTCACTACCCTGTGCTTAGTTGCTATGTAGGGTACATTAGTTGCCATTGTAGACACCAAATAAATGTCTCTTACTTCCACAATACTGTCAATTCCTGTGCCTGATCACAGCTTTTGTTTTTTTTTCTTTTCTTTTTTTCTTTTTTTGAGGCAAGAGTCTTGCTTTATAGCCAGGTTGGAGTTCATTGGCACGATCTCGGCTCACTGCAACCTCCGGCTTCCTGGTTCAAGCGATTCTTCTGCCTCAGCCTCTCGAGTAGCTGGGATTACAGGCACACGCCACCATGCCCAGCCAGTTTTTGTATTTTTAGTACAGACGGGATTTCACCATGTTGACCACAGGATGATCTCGATCTCCTGACCTCATGATCCACCCGCCTTGGCCACCCAAAGTGCTGGGATTACAGGCGTGAGCCACCACGCCTGGCCCACACCTTTTCGTTTGTGGTAGAATTTAAGACATAAAAGCTGAATTCATGCCTACTAATGATTGCTAAATCAGGCCGCCAGGTTCAAGTCCTGGTTTCACTGCTTAGTTCTATGGTCTTGAATCAATGACTTAACCTTTCTGCGCCTGGCTTCCACATCTCCTAAATTGGAATAATACGAATACGCATCTAATAGGATTGTTGTGAGAACTAAATAAATTCAGTAGCTGGAAAGGATTGGAAGAGTGCCATGTCATGCCCTGTAACTGGCTGGTGGTTATTACTAAGCCCGGGTTGCAAACTGGGGATATGGCAGAGAACACCAGCCCAGGCTCTGGCCTCGAATTGTGTGGTCCAGAGGAGGTCACAGACTAGGCCGCAGATCAGCAGATACTATGTGATGAGCACAGTCATCAGAAGGTACCGAAGGTACTTTCCCTCTGTGGGACACCTACCCAGATGTGAGAGTCAAGGGTACGTGGAATATCAAAGACCATATACCCCAGATTTATGGTAAGACTTTGTTGTTTACCAAGAACTGCCCTGCAGGAGGAAAGAGGGCTGTTCCACAGCCAGAGGCTAAGCCACCACTGCACCTCAGCTTCTTAGCACATCAGGGTGACCCTTTAGACACAGCTTCATCCTGCGACGAGGCTTCCCCTGAGAATTGCCTGTGGTCAGCAACAGCAGCCTCACGACACCAATTAGAGGAGAGGAGACTGGATGCTTGGTATGGGTGGTGGGGTGGGGAGGGAGCACCAGCAAACTTCAGGCTGTTTGAAAGGAGTCACAGTGTGTGTCGTGAACAGTATTAAGATTTATCATTTTTTGGGGACCTTAACTTTTTCTAACAACTAATATTTGAGAAGGGCTGATTTCTTCATGACAAGAAAAATGCCCAGGGCAAAGTGACATCAGGTGAGACCTGGATGACAAGTAGGAGTTTGCCAGCCCAGGGCTCCAGCTGGAGCAGGGCGTGCCAGGGTGGAGTATTTTAGGCAGAGGTTGCTCTTGCACCTGCCTCTGGGCGGTCCGCGGTGGTGCGTTCATGGACTCCAGCTCCTTGCAGCTGACTGCAGGCAGTCCTGGTGTACAGTTAGAAAGGGAAGAGCTACAGCAGGAGAAGTCGAGTGGCTGCATTGGGAGTGACCTTTTATGTGTGTTAAGAAGCTTGGGCTGTACCCCAAGGGCAGCAGAGAGCCGCAAAGTCCTTTGGACCAAAGATGGACAAAATGTCCGGTGCTTCCCATACCTCTCCCTTTTTTCCTTATAGGGTTCTTTTCCTCCACCCCAGGCCCTGCCTCTGTCCTCAGTCCTCTCTGCCCTCCCTGGGACCCTGCCTGGGTAGTGTCATCAATTCCCACAGCTTCACCTAGGTGCCAGTAACATCCCAGATATGTTCCTGCGAGCCTGATCCATCTCCCGCCTGCATCACGTGTGCCTTGTAGGCATTTCCACCGCCGATGCTCTGCACATCCCCCACATCCAGCACACCCAGAACTGAACTTGCCTGTCTTTTGGTATTGCACTTATTTAGTTCTCACAGCAATTCTATAAGACATGTATTAGCATTTTTCCAGTTTAATGGATATGGAAGCCAGGCACAGAGAGGCTAAGTCATTGACTCAAGACCACAGAGCTACTGAGTAGTGAAATCAGGGCTTGCTCCCTCATCTGCCGTTTCTGTGGTCTGCGGAAAGCACTGTTCTACCCAGACAACCAGACACATAGCAGACTCTTGCTCAGATCAAGAGCTATGTGCCATCGGGTCGAATTCCTTGCTGTCTAGTCCCTATGCCTCTTGTCTGTTGCCACTGAGACTCTGTTTGTTGAGGTGTACTCACCCTCTCTAACCAGAGAGAGCACCAACTCTCTCTTTCACCCCTCCAACCCACCCTCCAGAGTTCTAGAAGTGACCTTTTTGAAAGGTAAATCAGTTCTTGTATAGGTACCTAAACCTCCCACTGACTCCCTCTGAGCATGGACTCCAGCCTCCCTCTCCTGCCTAGGTCTCTCATCTTGCCCACCCAGTGCCAGGAACTGCATCCATCCTTGTTCAGCCTGGCTGAACAGCCCCGTTGAACTCCCTATTGCTCCCTTGGTGCCTATGCCAATTGGCCTGTCCTCCCTCCCGCTGCTGTGCCTTCCTGCTATCTTCCCTCCTGAAGCCTGACATCTTTCTCAAATCTCTGTTAAAGAAAAACCTTTCAGAAACCATTTCTGACCATCTGTCATCCTCAAAGTAACAGTAGCTGGTATTTATGTAGTGTTTACTGCGTAGCAGACATTGTTCTCTAAGAACTCTTTGCATTTACTTATCTAACACAACCATCTTTTCTAAATTTTAACAAGGGGAAACTGAGGCACGGGAAGTTTAACCTGCCTAACGTCATACAGCTAATAAGAGACAGAGCCAGGGTTCAAGCCCAGAGTCCACACTCCTGGCTGCTTGTAGCGTTGTGGCCTTGCACAGCACTCTAGGGGCCTTCGTGCACTCCAAGCTCTGAGCATGTCTGCCTTCCACTACTGATGAGGAAGTCTCAGCAGGATGGGGAAGAGGTTTTATTGGCCTTTGGTACCCCCAAGGCTTAGCATCTGGCACATGGAGGCAGTGGTTCAATTCTTGCTGACCATGCCTGGCTCCTGCTTGTCAGCTGTTAATCAGTCTTAGAAGCACTTAGTGCCTCGCACAGCTTCCTTCTAAAAATGAAGACCTATATTGAACTGTTCAGCTTTAAACCTTTCAAGATATATTCAAGGTGGAGGAAGTTAAGGGTCACCAGGAGTGCTTCGGACTCCACTGTAATGATTGCAGACCTGTGCCGTAATGATTGCAGACCCCCAGCAAGGTCTTCCGGATTGGCTGTGGCTGAGATGAGGACGAGGCTTCACTGAATGGACTGGTGGGACATCTCGTCCTGTGGGATCAGTGAGTCATTGTGTTACTGACTTCAGGAGTTAAAAAGAAAATCTTAGGAGATTTGTGAAGTTCATTAAAATAACCACTGCAGCATTCGAACGTGTAAAGCTAGGTTTACACACTGCTCAGGGCTTTGTACATATGGCATATAGGTATTATATCCAGTGATCAGATGAGGAAACGAGGCTTAGGGAGGATAGGTTACTCCTCCGTTCTGTTTTTGTGGGATACTTTGCCTCCCTGTGTTACCTTCAGAGATTTTTTGCTTGTTTTGAGAGGAAGGAATATTGGAGTGATTTGCTTGATTTTGCTTTTGAAAGGCATGTGTCTCAAACTTGTTGTAGGTGGAAAGTGAGACCAATGTCCTGCAGGACGGCTCCCTCATTGACCTGTGTGGGGCCACTCTCCTCTGGAGAACAGCAGATGGCCTTTTTCATACTCCAACTCAGAAGCACATAGAAGCCCTCCGGCAGGAGATTAACGCCGCCCGGCCGCAGTGCCCCGTGGGGCTCAACACCCTGGCCTTCCCCAGCATCAACAGGAAAGAGGTGGTAGAGGAGAAGCAGCCCTGGGCTTATCTCAGCTGTGGCCACGTGCACGGGTACCACAACTGGGGCCATCGGAGCGACACGGAGGCCAACGAGAGGGAGTGTCCCATGTGCAGAACTGTGGGCCCCTACGTGCCTCTCTGGCTTGGCTGTGAGGCGGGATTTTACGTAGACGCAGGACCGCCAACTCATGCTTTCACTCCCTGCGGACACGTGTGCTCGGAAAAGTCTGCAAAATACTGGTCTCAGATCCCGTTGCCTCATGGAACTCATGCATTTCACGCTGCTTGCCCTTTCTGTGCTACGCAGCTGGTTGGGGAGCAAAACTGCATCAAATTAATTTTCCAAGGTCCAGTTGACTGACACCCTTGACAACCATCTATGACTTTATTAACAGGTTACTGTGAAGATTTTGCCACTAACTCTAGATTTTGCCTTTTTGTAATGCTGTTTATTAGGGGAGGGTGACTAGGGCTGGGAATAGGGAGAGGGGACACATGATGAAACATGGCAGGAGTGTAACAGATACCAATGGTGTTTTGCATGCTCAGAACAGCAGCATTGTCATTGAAGTCTGCTTGATTAAACCATCATAATATCTGTAATAATTGGATTTAAAATGCCATGCTTTTATTTTTAACCTTGGGTTTTTAACCAAGTTTGTTTCTTGTAATCTTGGACAAGACTTTAAATCATATTTTATAGATGTAGAAGAAATTAATTCAAAAGTGATGGGCTCATGAAGTTCAGCCTTCAGTGCAGTGTGGTGTAGGTGTTACCGGAAGGGCACACAGTGTCTAGAAATACTTGATCATGGCTCAGACCTGACCAGACAGCAGAGGGGCAGCTCTGTACAGTGTGACTGGTGGACAGAAGGCCGTAGGCACAGGTGGTTTTGAAATCTGGGGCTTCTTCCAGATTTATTTTTCTGACTTGTTGGTGGAGAGAATACTCATATCTTGTGGGCTTTTTTTTTTTTTTAACTTCAATCGAATTTACTTTAGATACTCATTCATCAAATACATGGCACTTCTCAAAGAATTTTCTATAACTTTTTAGCCTTCTTTTTGTTACTTCTGCCTAATATGATTTGCCCCTGATACTCATCTTGCACGGCCAGACTGTTTGGTTGATTAAAATATATCAGCTCTTAAAAACTCATTAACTGAGAGTAATTACAGTAGTCGACATGATCTGGGTATTACACGACCACGTTTATTTGCTGACTGAATTGTTGAAGATTTAAGAATGATTAAAAATAAGCTTTGACTTTTTAAAATCACTTGGGGTTTTTACAGGCTTGGGATTTTTCTTTTTTGTTGTTAAGAAAGCCAAATTCTGTGAGCCTAAAAGCAACCAGTCACAGTGTTACAGTCATTTTTGTGCACTCCCTTTTCACCATCTGTCACCTTCCCTTGCAGCTTAAGGAGCCGTGTAAGTTTTGAAAATGTTTGCAAATCAAACTCAATTTAAATGGGATCATTAGATATACACGACACCAAGTGGTCCATCTGCAGAGATAATTCAAAATTCCCAATTTTGAGAGAGCAAATGATCCCATTTAAATCGCTGAGGAATAATTAAATCAGAATTTCATATGAGCTCCACCATTTCTCTGTTACTTTAATTTTATTTGGATTAATAATTCTTGGATGCTTGGCACCAGTCATATCGCTGCTTCCAGAATGTAAAGATCCTTTAGGACCTGAGACTGGTTGGAGCTGGCTGAGATAAAATAAAACCCTGCCACATGGAGTAAGTATTTATTTAAACTAATGTTCTCTTAATTTGACCATTGCAGATTTGGGTGATTTTTTTTAACCTTTGTAAATATACGTAATTTATATGATTCTAATGTACTATATCCATACTTGAATTGGTTTTTTCATACTTTGCCTGCTGGCAAATATTTTGCCTATTTTCAGTTGTTCTAACCTATTTGAATACTCTCTGAAAATGATACGATATATTACTCTTGATTGCTGCTGCTTACTTTGATGTAATATTTTTAAAGTTCAGCCTCTCAGTTTTAAAATAGCTTTATTTTTCAAGGGACATCATTGTGTAGGATGAGGCATTTTTGGTTTTGGTTTTGTTTGGGTAAATTTTAAGTGATGTGAAAATCTGACAACAGTCCTCTTATGGATAGCTTGCTGTATTTGGTAGAGCTTACTCTGCCTGCAGACAGAAAATGAAAGAAAAAAATGGACTTGCCTAGAATAATATATTGAGTGCCCTTTGATTTAGCCACAGCCTCTGATGATTAGCTTTCACTGATAGAGTAGGTCTTTTCACCCTGTAATTCCTTGTGCTCCGAAGAATGACAAAGGAGGCACTCATTCCCTTTCCTTGGTATATGCCTAGAAAGTGGTTGAAGCATTCTTGATGCCCTAAAAGCATCTTGTAAGCTAAATGGTCTTGCATCCAGAAAGGCCAGATTTTACCTACCAAGTAAAAAGATATTTTTCCAGAGAGTTAGGTGTATCATAATTTCCCATTTCAAGTTCTGTTCTTAAGCTTACTCATTCTGCAATGTGACATATCCCCTAAAATGAAGTCACCTTCCAAGTTGGACACATGCCATAATTCAGCTTAAATGTAAGCTGAAATTTGGGTACTAATTTCCCAGCTCTTAGAAGGGGTAACAGTGAACCGCCCTCTATGGGCTCCACATCTTTTCCTTTGGCTTCCAAAGCGAGGTCCCGCCCACCCTGCCTAAGGAACTGCAGAGAGGTGGCAAGTCAGCAGAAAGGACGCCAGGCTGTTCATGGCCTCTTGTAGGAAGATCCCTTTAATTTTTTTTTTTTCAGAGTTGAGTTTGTGAGAATAAAGACCTCTGTAACTCACCAAGGCAGAGAAATACAGTTCAGAAAAGTAATGTCTCCAAGGTCACTTATTTTTTTATGTCTTGCTTGCCATCACTTTAAAGGACTAGCCCCACGCCCCCATGTGTACACATAAGGAAATTGCAGAACAATTCGTTGTCCTGGCCTGACTCTAACGTCGTTTGCAAGTAGCTTCCCAGAAGTAAAATCCCCAGTGATGTATTCCCATAGAAATATTTTTCAGTTGTTTATGTCGTTTACTACAAAAAAATGATTCAGAGTGGATGGAGTACAACTCTGAGTATTTTTCTAGTCCGGAATTTTTTATTAATGATCGGTGCTGCCGGGTCATGCATGCTGCAACTCTCAACATTTCCTTTATTTGGTTCAGCTTTTAGCAAAAAGGGCTACAGTTCACCCTGCAGAGTAAGTATTAAGGTTTCTGGATTTTTTTTTCCCCAACTGTGGCCCAAAAGAATTAAAATCCGTTAATATAAATAGAGAGCATATTTATCATTCCTCAATAGTTAATTATAGACTTTGGTACCTTTGTGCCTCAGGGAAGCCACGTGATATAACTGGTTATAGAATTTCAGGGCTAGGGTTTAAAGAAAGGAGAAAGCCATTGGAAAAATGATGGGCTCCATTAAGGAGACTAATGAATCTGGATGCAGAAATATGCCAGAAACTGGCATAAACATGATTGTAGTAGAATTTATTTTCCAGTACCAATAAGGAAATTATTTTAAGTTATTACATATACTGTATTGGGAAAGTTGAGGAGAACTCTTTTCTTCTTAAAGCTTCAATGTCTTTTTTTTTTTTTTCCGTGGAAAAACTCAAATCTGTTATTTGGGAGCTCAGTATTGTGTGGGCACTGTGGAGAGTTTTCTACTTAATTGAAGTGTAATACAGGTTACAGAATTGTTACCCACAGTTGTATGGTTTTGCTCCATTTCTTTTCGTTATTAAAGTCATTCTGTTCCTTAGATGTGTTTGAAAAGGTGTGTGATGACACCATTGTTAATGCTGGGTAAAAACTAGCTATCTTCTTGCAGTCTTGCCTCATAACAGTGGAATTTCTGATAGACAAACCACAGGACTTTGACTTTATGCCAAATCCAGCTCCGTCCCTTTACTGTCAATCTTCTATCCCAGTAGTGTAGCCTTTGTGGCTTAGGGTATGATGCTTCTCCTTCTGTGCTGAAAAAGCACAGCTCTGTTACCATTTCGTTACCACTCAAAGGCCAATGAGACAACTTCAGAATCTTTTTAAAAGAATGCAAGCATCATTGAAGCAGTAACACAAAAAGAAGGTTCAGTATTTTCTTTTTAGTAAAACTTACATCCTTTCAAATAAGTTTTTGCCCTCATGAAGAATCCCTAGAGGAAGGTAAGGAAAATATTTTACAGTAGTACTTGACAGTTTCTAAACATGTTTCTGAACAAATGAACTCAATGAAAGGAAAGATGTTTCTTTTTAGTTGAGATGACAGATTGCTTCTCTGTATTAAATAGTCTAGAAGTTAAGGGGATGGTCACATTTACCATGTATTGTGTTATGAGCAGTTCAATTTTATGAATATATTTGTAAAATTGTTGTTTTATATTTCATGTCAAATTGAAAAGTTTATTTCTTCACTATTGTACCTGTGGAAATACAAGCCATTTTACAGGAAAAATATCTTCAAAAACTATTAAATGGATTTCAGTCTGTTTGTGAGTCATTATCTTCAGACTCTGTGGTTGTCACCGAGTTCATCAGGACATTCAGTAGGAAGTTGATACAAGTAGAATTGATGTTTTTCACTTCTCTGACTTCCAAGTTAATCTCAAACTGCTGAATTTATTATTGTTTTATATTCTGCACAATACATATTTAAATCTGGATTCTGAAAATCCCCTAAATTTTTTAATTAAAGAAATTTTCTTTTTTTAAAAATACATATTTTATTGCACTTTAGGTCCTGGGGTGCATGTACAGAACATGCAGGATTATTGCATAGGTACACACATGGCAATGTGGTTTGCTGCATCCATCCCCCGCCCCTCCCCGTCACCTATATCTGGCATTTCTCCTCATGTTATCCCTCCCCAGCTTCCCTATCCCCCACTGTCCCTCTCCTGTTCCCCCCCAACAGACCCCCGTGTGTGATGCTCCCCTCGCTGTGTTCATGTGTTCTCATTGTTCAACACCTGCCTATGAGTGAGAACATGAGGTGTTCGATTTTCTGTTCTTGTGTCAGTTTGCTGAGAATGATGGTTACCAGGTTCATCCATGTCCCCATAAAGGACATGAACTCGTTTTTTATGACTGCATAGTATTCCATGGTGTATATGTGCCACATTTTCCTTGTTCAGTCTATCATCAATGGGCATTTGGGCTGGCTCCAGGTCTTTGCTGTTGTAAACAGTGCTGCAGTGAACATACATGTGCATGTGTCTTTATAATACAGTAATGTGTAATCCTTTGGATATATACCCAGTAATGGGATTGCTGGGTCAAATGGAATTTCTATTTCTAGGTCCTTGAGGAATTGCCACACTGTCTTCCACAATGGTTGAACTAATTTACACTCCCACCAACAGTGTAAAAATGTTCTTATTTCTCCATATCCTCTCCAGCATCTGTTGTCTCCAGATTTTTTAATGAACGCCATTCTAACTGGTGTGAGATGGTATCTCAATGTTGTTTTGATTTGCATTTCTCTAATGACCAGTGATGATGAGCATTTTTTCATGTTTGTTGGCCTCCTATGTGTCTTTTCATGTCCTTTGCCCACTTTTGAATGGGTTTGTTTTTTTCTTGTAAATCTGCTTTAGTTTTTTATAGATTCTGGATATTAACCCTTTGTCAGACTTTTGGTGCCTATATTACTATTTCTTGTGACATATCACTGTCAAATTTAACTTCCAGGGGAATTTAACCTGACTTTGTAGAATTAATGGATTTTTGTCATGATCATTTCAGCCATATTGCATTGTCACTTTTGTGACAGTCGTCATTCACTTTTAACAACATAATAAGGATTGTGTGTAAGCCTTCAATCCTTACTTGAAGCTTTAAACTAACATATCTGTCATAAGAAAATACACGTATTTATGATAGTTTTTTTTCTCATCACATTGATACTCAAGGAGTCTTAGTATTGAGAGAAACAGATTTTTCATTTCCAGAAAAAAAAAAAATGCATATTTATGTAGGCTGTTATTTCAGGGGATAAGTGCTCCATACTTTGTCAAATCTAAGATGCCAAAAATGGTAAGATGTATTACAGAAAATCACAACCAGTTATAATTGTAAGATGCATATCATTGGTCATGGAATAACCCTCACACAACATGCAAACACTAACTCAAAATGGGTCAAAGAGCTACAACTATATAACTCTTAGAAGAAAACATAATGTAAACCTTTGTAGCCTTAGATTAATCAGTGATTTTTGACGTACTAAATGTAAAAACACAAGCAACAAAAGAAAAAGGCCAGGCACAGTAGCTCACACCTATAATCCTGGCACTTTGGGAGGCTGAGACAGGTGAATTACTTGAGGTCAGGAGTTAGAGTTCAACCAGGCCAGCATGGGGAAAACCCTTCTCTACTGAAAATACAAAAATTAACTGGGCATGGTGGCAGGTGCCTGTAATTCCAGCTACTTGGGAGGCTGAGGCCAGATAATCGCTTGCAACTTGGAAGTGGAGGTTGCAGTGAGCCAAGACCACACCATTCCACTCCAGCCTGGGCAACAAGAGCAAAACTCTGTCTCAAGAAAAAAAAAAAAACAGATTGGGTTTTATGAAAATTGAAAAGTTTTGTGCATGAAAGGACACTGTCAAGAGAGTAAAAAGACAACCCACAAAACAGAAAATATCTGGGGATTATATATTTGATAAGGAGCTTAAGTCCAGAATATGTAACAGGCTCTTACAACTCATTAAAATGCAACCTCATTAAAAGATGGTCAAAAGTTTATAAGTTTTCAGAACATTTTTCAAAGAATGTATAACACAGTAAGCACATGAAAACATAGCTCGACACAATTAGCCGTCAAATTAAAACCACAAGAAGTGCAAATTAAAACCACATGATACCATGTTATACCTACTAGGATGGCTAAAGTCAAAAAAGACAATAGTGAATGTTGATATGGATCGTAAAGTGATGCAGCTGCTTTGGAACAAATAGTTTGGCATTCCTCAAGAGGTAAAATTTATGTACAGTTACCATGTGCTCCAGCAATTCCATTGGTCGGTATATACATAGAATTGAAAATATGTTCACACAGAAATATGTACATGAATGTTCATAGCATTATTTATAATACCCAAAAAGTGGGAAGAAATGCTCATCAGCTGAGGAATGGATGGACAAAACATGGTATATCCATACAATGTAAAATTATTTAACTACAAAAATGAAGTACTGATACTGATACATGCAACATAGATGAATCTTGAAAACATGTTAAGTTGAAAAAGCCAGAAGCAAGAGGCAACATATTTTATGTAAGAAACAGGCAAATCCACGGAGACACATAGATTTGTCATGGCCAGGAGTTAAGAAAAAAGGAATAAGAAGTGATTACTAATAGACATGAGGCTTATTTGGGGGGGATGATGAAAATGTTCTAAACTTAGTGTTGATGGATATACAACTATGTAAATAGACCAAAAACCACTGGATTACACACAAAAAGGTGAGTTTTATAGTATGTGAATTATATCTCAGTAAAACTTAATTTAAAAAAATACCTCCTAAATTGAGAGATGTTAGATTATGAAGAGTTTGTGTCTTAGAAACATCATGCTATGATCTTTACTTAGTCTTTCCGGTAAAAATATTCAGGATCACCCAATTTCTTGCTGCCTTGAGATGTTTTCAAAATGTAACAACACAGCTCATTTCTTTTCCTTACACTTTTACTTGCCATTAGATAAAGTGAAATCATGGAACCAAACACCACCTATTAAAAAAAAAAAAAATACACTTGTCTTCCAAAAAAAAAAAAAAAAAAAAAAATTTTTTTTTTTAAAATTTTTTTTTTTTTTTTTTTTTTTTTGTTTTTTTTTTTTTTTTTTTTTTTTTTTTGTTTTTTTTTTTTTTTTTTTTTTTTTTTCCAATTTCAATTTTTTTCGGTTTTACTTTTTTTTTTTTTTTTGAGACAGGGTCTCACTCCATTGCCCAGGCTGCCAGGCCAGAGTGCAGCAGAGTGATCAGTGTCACTGCCCCTTCAATTTCCAAGGCTCAAACCATCCTCCCACCTCAGCCAGGCTGCTCTTGAACTCCTGGGCTCAAGCAAACTGCCTGCCTCAGCTTCCCAAAGTGCTGGGATTACAAATGTGAGCCTCCTCATGTGGCTCTTTTTTTTTCTCTTAGGATGAAAGCATAGAATGCTTTTCTAAAAGTCTTTAAAATCCTTTTTTTTTTTTTTGAGACAGAGTCTTGCTCTGTCGCCCAGGCTGGAGTGCAGTGGTGTGATCTCAGCTCACTGCAACCTCTGCTGCCCAGATTCAAGCAATTCCCCTGCCTTAGCTTCCTGAGCAGCTGGGACTACAGGCGCATGTCACCTGCCTGGCTAATTTTTTGTATTTTTAGTAGAGACAGGGTTTCACCATGTTAACCAGGATGGTCTCAATCTCCTGACCTCGTGATCCGCCTGCCTTGGCCTCCCAAAGTGCTGGGATTACAGACCTGAGCCACTGGGCCTGGCCAAAATCTACTTTAAAAAAAAAAAAGTATTTTCATAGCTGGAAATTCTTTTATAATCAATATGAAAAATAAAAAAGGACTATTGTAAAAACTTAAAACATGGAAAGTGTAAAGAAAAGCCACTGATAATCCTATTACCCGGAGATTAACAATGTAAGTATTTGGAGGTACGGTCATGCGTTGCCTAACGACAGGGATATGTTCTGAGAAATGTATCATTAGGCAACTTTGTTGTGTGAACATTATAAACCTAGAAAGTACAGCCTATGACACACCTTGGCTATATGATATACCTATTGCTGCCACACTACAAACCTGAACAGCATGGGATTGCACTGAATACTGTAGACAGTTGTAACTCAGTGGTCACTACTTGTGTATCTAAACAGAGATGGTACAGTCAAAATGCAGTATAAAAGATTAAAAATGGCGTACCAGCATAGGGCATTTACCAAGAATTGGAGCATGCAGGATTAGAAGTTGCTCTGGCTGAGTGAGTGAGTGAGTGAGTGATGAACGAATGGGAAGACCTGGAACATTACACTACTGGAGCCTTTATAAACACTGTGCACTTAGGCTACACTACATTTATAGAAATAACATAAGCTAAGTAACCTTAGCTTACTGTAACTATTTTACCTTATAAACTTTAATTTTTTAACTTTTTGACTCCTATAAAAACACTTTCCTTAAAACACACACACATCGTACAGCTTACAAAAATATTTCCTTTCTCTGTATTCTTATTCTCTCAACTTTTTTCTATTTAAAACTTTTACTTTTTAAGCTTTTGTATTAAAACCTGAGATACAAACATACACATTAGCCTAGGCCTACAAAGGGGCAGGATCATCAATATCACTGTCTTCCGCCTCCACATCTTGTCCCACTGAAAGGTCTTCATAACACACTGGAGCTGTCATCTCCTATGGTAACAATGCCTTCTTCTGGAATCCCTCCTGAAGAACCTGCCTGAGGCTGTTTTACAGTTAACCTGTTATATAGTAGGAGTA